GAGCCCCTGCCTAGGTAAAGACGGGCGGCATTAACCACCAGGGGAAGCTGAATACCAAGAGCTTCACCTTAGAGAGTTTGAGGGTCCGGGTGTGCTTGCCTTCCATCTCTCCACTGTAGTCCTGCGGATGGGTGATCAGCTCCCACTCATAGGAATAGCTGGTTCCTAAAGAAGTGACAGATGCTAACAATTATGAGAGCTATTTTAAAGCAAGACAAGGGCAGGTGTTCACATTAATACTGGTCTGTTCTGCTATACTCAAGGGAAGCACAAAACAGCTGAGGGCCTGGACCTTAGCTTGCTGGAAACACACCAGGGAGAAGAGACAACCTGTGCTCCAAAACCACGCTCCATCTGGAGCTGGTGCTTCTATTTTAGTCTCCTGAAGGGGTGAAAGAGTATGAGGGATCACAGGTCTAGAACCGAGGGTTGAGGGCATAAAAGATTAAAACCATATGGGTTCAGTGTAGGCGCCTGTCTCTAAAACTCCGGCTCCTGGTATCAAAAATAGGGAATGCCTCTCACAGGACTGTCACAGGGTCCGCTCCTGCCTCTCTCTACCATGAGTACAGCAAAAGCAACTTCTGAAAAGGTCCAGCTGATTCTCTGCATCTCTTGAATTTCTCAGTGAACCCATGACTAAGCCACAGGTTTGCCCATCAAATCAAATCATGATCCCCAATAACTTGTCATCAGGCAATGACACTCTCTGGCTTCTCCCAGGAAGCTCAGAGGATATAGCTGCTGCCATGCTCAGTCTGAGTGCACACTGGTAGTTTCTGTATTTTTGGCCCAGGCTATTTATTATGGGAGGCAGTCCTGTTTAACTGTTAGGAGAGGGAGCTGGAATCAGGTCTCCTGAATGATCACTAAAGAAACCACTCATTAATTGAGAGACCTTGGTTGAATCTCATTTCTGCGCCTCCCTTACTTATCTGTAAAATGGACATAATATTTAACCACTTTCAGGAAAAGCTTCGAGGCTCTCACCTGAAAGATGCTATGTATGAGCAAAGTTTTATAACCACCAGGGCAAAGGAGGTCTGCCCCAGTGTGGTATTTGTTGCTTGAACGTGGCTGATATTTTTACCTCCTCCACATGACAAGCTAATACTGTGATGCACTGTCACAGCAGGTCTCTACAAAAACCTAGCAGAGAGATCAGACTTCAGCTCAGTGCAGAGACAGACTTCTTAGGAAAGCAGGATTGTATACCCATGCAAGCAAACCTTTGGATGAGTAACAAAAGACAGACTATGTGAAACAGCTTGCTCTCTGGACAAAACCCCTACTGACATATTACAGATGATGCTAGAAATCTGCTAGGGAAAGGCCTGTAGTCTAGCACCCCAGGACAACCAACACCTTGGCCCACACAAGTAAGATGTCCTCAGTACCCACAGGGCGAGCTGCTGAGCTGCAGCACAATTCTGTGATCAGTGAGGCTGAAAATGAGACGAGGCTTCAGCTTCCTTTTAAATCACAACCCCCCCCGGGCCTCTTTCTTTGCTCAATTATTCCCAGGGCTCAGCTCTCTCACTCTTTACCGTATCTCCTTAGACAAGGGCATGTGGCTAGTTCTGTGCAGCTGAAAGAGAACACAGTGATAACCATGTGTGTGTGTCAGCCCAAAGTGGACAACTGCGGGCTCCTTGAAATGGGGGTGGTTGCAACTGAAAATAAGTTTTCCTCACTTGATCTGCAGTTCTTTAAAACAGTGGTCTTCTCCCACAGATGGGTGCCCTTGGGAGCTAGAAAAATACCCTCCTTCTGCTGTGTGAAACAAGCCTCAGAAGCCCTCACTATAAGCAACTGCTCATTCCTAGCGCAGACCATACTAGCATGGGTACTCCAGAGGAGGACTTTGATGTTTGAATAGGGAAAATCTTAAAAGAGTCTCCTGTCTAATGAGTCATTAACTCCTCTTTGGCACCCATGAAGGAGAGTTTCCAACCTCATCTTACCTGCTGGTGGCTCAGGGAGTACAAATGCATTTAACTGAACTTCATTCCTTGGAAGGGTCACTTGGACACTGTCTCCAGCAGAAACTACCAGCTCCTTCATAACTGAGAGGGAGGGAGAATTACAGAGTTAAAGAGGAACAGGAATTACAGAATTAAAAAGGAACAGGAAAAAGAGAGTTGCATGCCTACATAAAGAGACCTTTGGCTTCAGCCTTTGTGGACAAGCCAGCTACAAACAGCTGCATTTTGCAAACATCCTGCCATTCGCTGTAGCTGCCGTTTCAGGTCTCATACTGAATGCAAAAAAAAAAAGCCAACAGAACTTCATGATTTTAAAGCAAGCCCAGATTTGCTACTTTCCTGTCTTTGGAAACACTGTGTAACTTCTGCTCCTTTGCTGAAATGCTGAAATGCAACCCTCTCACCCAGTACAGAGACCTCTATTCAGCCAGGTCCAGCAAGAGAAGGGGTCAAAAGACAGGCTTTCGGGCAGGGGGTGGGGAAACAGGACCCAGCCGCTCACTTCTGGACACGGCAGGACAAGAGCTGCTATTTACCAAACTGCAATCTTAGACCTTCACAAATATAGGAAGAATTCCAGGTATTCTCCATTTCAGTTACAGAGCTCCTTGGAGCTAACAGACTTTCAAAACCTGCATGCCTTCCACACTGAAGCTGTTGCAACTCTAAATATGAGGGTTTTTCCTTTCCTTTCCTAATCAGGAAAAGATCAGGAACATTTCTTACGCATTTCCTTCTAATGCCAACTCCAAAAAGGGGATTATAATATTTATAAAGGTGATTTGATAGAAGCAGGGAATATGTGGCTTGTGGCTTTTTCTGCTCTGTTATGTATCAACGCGTTGTTGCATTTCTCACGGTACTTTTCTACCCTCCCCACCTTTTTCTTTTTTTTTCTTTTTTTTTTACTTAAGGGCTGGAGGTGATGGTTTAGCACAGGAACCTAATGTCTGTTCTTTGGTTGGGAAAAATAAGGCTTAAAAAGGGTCTTAAGGGATGTGCACTGGGAGCTTTATTTTTATAACGGCAGGGGAGGCTGTATGTTTTATTCCAGTGGCCACTTAGCGCCTGGAAGAAAGGGTGTGATTAAATAGTTAGCACAAAAACAATTCAGCCTCTTCCTGTGTCAGAACTCTGTCCATCCTCTGGCCAGAAGGAAAGTCCCAAGACAAAACAAAATCACTTCCTAATGGGGAAAAAAAATGAGACATGTGGACAACTCCCCCTGCCCCTTTTTTTTTAAAAGAACCCTTCAAGTCTTGATATTGTGCAATGATGCAGGAGACACTGGCTCAGCCCTATGCAGGTCGCTAATAAGGCATTTCACCATGTATATTCTAGCACTCCCGGGGAAGCACATCTAATGTTTTTTTTTTGTTTTTTTGTTTTTTGTTTTTTTGGGGGGGGGGGGGGGGGGGTGGGGTGGTTGGTTGGTTTTTGGGTTGTTTTTTTTTTTTTTTATGAGAAAGACGGGTAAACTGGTAGAACAGCTATTTGATTGGCTTTCTGCCAGCAATATCATGTTTCCCTTTCACTGGGCCATTTTTACAAAGGCAGACAAGGTCCCTTGAGTGAATCTGATATCTTTTATTAGACCAACCCAAATAGTTGGAGAACCTTGTCTGCCTATGTCCTTAGACCAACATGGTTACAACCTACACCCCTGCAGCATTTACAAAGCACTTACAGAGTTTATCTTGCTGGGATCCTGTGACCCCAGCTGACTTCCTGCCCCCTGTGGCAGGGGGCTGGACTCGATGATCTTTCAAGGTCCCTTCCAGTCCTAATGTCTATGAAATCTATGAAACTTTAGCTTTGGGCACTTCAGAGAATTGCAGTCAGTGGCTTTCGCTATACTGAGCCCCAGTGTATCCACAGCCTCAGAGAAGGAGCTGGCAGCTCAGGCTCTGCTTGCAAGGGAACCGTGCATGGGGCTTTTGTTATTTTGCACATTTTTCAAGCGATTGCTTTAGAAATACCAGTGGGAACAGTTACGTGCCAGTCTGCTTCAGAGCATGCATGGCGCACAGCCAGACATGCTGCTTCTCTGTGGCTGTACTGTACCTTGACATTTCGGGGAGGAGTGGGGGTGAGGTGGGGAATAACTGCACCCGTTTTAGACAAGTGCTTTACGAAGTGAAGGAAGGTACTTCTGCTCGGGCTGACAGACAGCTGCTAAAAGGACGGTTCTGTACCTCCATGTCTTGTGGTAGATTTGCTCCCATTATGACACTGAAGAGGTTACTCCTAACCCCTGAACTGTATGTAGAAGCATAAAAGAGGTCAGGGCCTGGACCCAGGCTTGCTTACAACACACCCAGGAGAAGAGCCAACCCGTGCTCCAAAACCACGCTCCATCTAGAACCCGTGATTCGATTTTGGCCTCCCAAAGGGGTGAAAGAGTTTAAGGGAGTGTAGATCTACAATGCCACGAGAGTTGAGGGCATAAATGACTCAAACTCTATGGGTTCAATATAGGTACCCGTCTCAAACTCTGGCTCCAAGTATCACAAACTGTATTTGGAGAACAGATTGAGTAGACATGTGCCTTTGCTGTTCTCAACACAAAATCCCCACGGTGGGCTGCAATGCCCCAGTGGTATATATGCTGGAAGAAGCCTTCCCCCAGATCTGCTGGACCTCTGC